AAAACGCACCATGTCCTCAGGCATCGTCGCTGATCGTCCGCTACCGCTCAATCACTGAAGTAATGCTCAACCCTATTTACAGTCGGTTACCCAGATGTTCATTCTCCTAACAGCGACCGGGACATGCGCCCAATAGCGAATAAATCGGGAGGAAGAACGGCACCCTACAGTTCCAGAATTATTTACTAATGACCGAGATAGATTCCTACTCAGCTCAGTAAGTCGAATTCCGGCAGTAAAGTTATCTTTAAACTACAAAAGAAACGCAATTGAACAACCAGAAGAATCTAATTCCCTGAGTGGTGATCGAGGGGTTGAAAAGAACGCAGAAGAATGGTCAAGAAATATACAAGGTACGGATTTCGCAGTGATCCAGAAACTTGGTCATGAAATGGACAGCAGAACAGACCACATCTGTGATGGACTAGTTTGTTTAGCATATAGACTGAAGAGGATCACGGCGAATAGTCAAATAAGAACGTGGAAGTGTTCGGTGAGTTTTAACCTCTGACGAAGTGATACCAATAGAACGAAAGCGTTTAGATAAAATAGTAAAACTGAACTTTGAAGGAATGGAGGCAACAATTACAGGTCGCCACAAATGGACAAATTCATGGGGGAGAGCTATCATCACTTCAGTTAGTGAACCGTCACCAAGACTTTAAGAGTGCAAGCAACAGGAAAACGACCGGGGCCAATTGCAGACTTCAGTAGCGGGGATGTTATCCTACCTTTGTGGGGGAACCGAGTATCACGGGATATCACAGGTCGAAAATGGCACTTATTGTGTCAGTGAAACGGTCCACAGATGATAGAAAGGAGGTAAACTAACGGAACAGGACGGTTGTATTCCAAGACAGTGTGGGAGAAGTAATATCAACGGATGAAAGATTTCCATAGATGTCCCTAGTCTGCTTCGACTGAGTAAGCAATTGCCTGGAGAAGGCTAAATAGCTGGCATGAGAAGGCAGTGATCCAAAAGGGACCGGATATTCATAATGAGTAAAGAAGAAAATATCACTTGCGCAACGACTATGTTACTTGGAGTACACTACTTGTTCGCTTGTTTATCTCGATTGTTTGTGTTCTGATGTCAGTAAGACGTAGGTTTATCATAAAAATACATCTATCGAGAATAAAATTCTTGTGGGCATCGACGAATGATAAAATAACTATAAACCCCCGAAGAGAGGAGAATCCGAGTGCAGCATGCAACATGAAAGGAGCAATATTCTGTGCAATGAAATCAGCATTTCTTGACATAATCTGAAGGAGTCATGGGATATCAACAACTGATATGGACGCGAGACGACGGATGGGGCCGAACGGACGCAAGTAAAGAGAACGATACACACACACACATACCCCGCTCCTCGGACTCTTCTTTCAGGATTTGATTTTCCAGAGTGAGTTCTTCTACTTGTTCCTTCAACAATTCCAATTCACTTTGCACTGAATCCAGTTTCTCCTCGGCCATTTCTTTGTCCAAAGTGGCCATTTCCATATTTTCGACCATTTCCGCAGTCTCCTCACGATACCGATCAAACGCTTCCTGTAGCTCCGCTTTTTCCTGACGAGAGAGAAAACAATGAGGGCAAGCCGGGAATGAATGAGGAGAGACACTGGGTGAGCGAAAGTTAAACAACAAATGATGGAGTAACACGAATTGATCAGATTCGAAATTCACAAAAACATCGACGGAGCCGCCACATAGGAACAACGAAACCAGCAGTGTCTTAATAGTCACAATGTGTTCCGAACCTCAGACGTGTATCTAAATACCTACCTATATAATGTGTGCGTGTCTCATCATTAACAACCCTAGGTACGCAGAGTGTGTACACAAATAAGTGGTTACAAATGGATCCTGTCGGCAGAGTCGTAGTAACAGTCGATTTGCGAAGGTACTTTTGAATGCAAAATGACACTGGACTATGCCCCTGGAAATGAAACCTAATAAGAAGATACACTTGGAAACTGTTTTGAGTCGTTACCGTTTTGGCCTGTGCCAGCGTACGCTGCAACTCGGCCGCTTGTTCACGCATCAAGCGTCGATTTTCCTCCATCTGTGTAATTTGTATTTTCAAACGTTCTATTTCCTGCAAACGAACACGATCCTCTTCTCGTTTGGCTTTCAGAGCGTCCACCTGATCGGTGAGCGTCTGAATTTCCGCTCGAAGATTAGTCAATTCCAGTTGAGTATCCGGCGAATGTTTCCCATCAGTCGAGGGGAGACCGGTTGGCAAAACGGGAGATGCTATGGAAATGGAAGCACGCGGTGGCTGAGGCGATGTGACCGCAGACGGGGTCGGTGGAACAACTGGACTCGGTTTTGCTGCATGTGCCGTAGTTGGTGGTGTGGCCGATGCCGGGGCTGCTGAGACCGTCGTAGGAGCTTTCGGAGTGACTTGTTGCGGTTGAGAAGTGGATGATTCAGATATGGAAGCAGCTGCGCCTGTGTGCGAAACGCTAGCTTTTGGCGAAGGAGTCACAGCAGGAGTAACCATCGTGGTAGGTCCAGGTATTACTGATTTTGTTAGCTTTGACTTTGCTGTAGAGGCGGGTGTTTGCTTACCCGGAGAAGAGGATGTAGAGGACTTGCGTCGTGGATCACCGGCCAATGACGGACTCGATCCCGAAGGTATCTAAATGGGGAACAAAAAATAAAACGGGTTTTACATGTCAAATAAAAAAATACCGATCGAGTGAAACAATGATGGTAACGATGGGCGGTGGTGGTTGAGTGGTAGGGTTATCAAAATAGCCTGAGTTTGAACCCCACCACCGCCGCCCATCTTCCCAGTTTCAGTATTTCTCCAAACAGCCTTTGTATGGCCGCGGTTTCCTCCCTGAAAATTTATTGTACATTTATATGATCAATAAACAGAAGGAAGTAAAAACCTTTGTCATCTTTTTAGTAACCAGGTAGTGTTACAGACATCAAGTAGTAAGTTCAGGGTTAATGACAGTAATCCGAATTGTTAAGAGCAATCAGAAGATCCGGTAAAGAAAATTTGAGGCGAGCGAAATCCCGCAACATGGAAGAAAAAGGAACTGATGAGAACCAATCGTTTATGTTCTGTGAAGCTGCGGTTAGTTGAATCAGGTGAGCCGAGACCATCATTAAACGAATTGATCACCAAGATGAGTCAGTTACATCAACCGTAGCGAGAAACGGTAAGAATAAAAACTTCAATCCAATCAGGGCATTTAACAAAGAATGTTCGATAAGCAACACCCTAGACCGGAAAAAGTATTCTTACCAATCCGCGTTTGGACTGAACGGAACGGGAAGAAGTGATTGCATGAACAGAAACGACATTATCAGAATTAATTATCGTTCTGGTCGAAATCGATTTGGGTATAAGTGACACGGAAATCAGTTTACCAAAAAAATTCCAACACCGAAATCTGAACAACCGTGACTACACCCCCCGGTTTATTCCTTCTGCTTAAGCTACTAGATCAGTAGAGCAAATTGCACCTTGTCAGTAAAAAAAATGTCGTCCAAAATGATTATTTAGAGACATGAGAAACGCCCGAGTACTTTTCTGACAGCCCTAACCAAATAACGGTTCAGGTATCCCGTAAAACCGCATTACCTGTGCGAATGCCAGACACTACGCTGACACAACGATCATATATAAAAACACTGGGGTACAGAAGAAGGACAAAGAATGTCGGTGTTTTGAATACGACTGTCTTCTTAGCATTGAACGCAGCGGATAGGACATTTCGATTAGCAATTATGAGACCAAGAGCTACAGACACTGGCGTAATCGCCTGAGTGCGATAGCTCGATTTTTTGTGCAGGTTCATGATGAGACTATCTCCATGGAGTGTCCACCAAAGTGTATGGTGATAGCAGAAAGGGTAAAAACGGTCGAGAGAGCGAAGATAGTGAACTTCTTCATTTATGCGACACCCTTAGGTTTACAACCACACAATTTGTCTTCCGATGTTGTTCTAGAGCACCAGTTTGAACGTCGAAAGTCGCTAACTTGAGCTGCGACCAATCCGCGAGTATTGTTTCCGGAATAACCTGGGCGGATGCTTGTTTCTTTTGCGCAGGCACAAGACTATGGTTTCCGCCGTTGGAGAGTCGAGTGGGCGGCAAAGCGAGAATAGGAAAGTTCAACAGTTGAGGAAGGGAAAGAATGTGATCTGTTGGTGTGGTAATGTGGATATCTGTGGAGCCGACCGCCATCACCTCGGTCAAAGAGCGCATAATTTTTGAGAGCAAAAAATTCGGAAATATATACTGACCGTTCATAAGTTGTGTGGACATGTTACTTCCCGATTGCCTAAGCCGAAGAAGGAAGATAACTTCAGAGCCCCCACCCAAAGCCTTTGGTAAGAAAGTCGGACCTGCAAGACAGCAGAACGGAGCTCAGAGTCCGCAGTCCATTGGAATCCAGNTCCAATTAGTCGGATCATACGCCCTTTGGACGGGGTCAAGCGTCCAAGGTGACCAATACACCTTGATGCCTAATCCAGCCGGTGACCCCTGTCATGACCAGAAAGGTGTGGGTGGTTATTACGCCTCTTCTCGGTTGGTTTGGAATCAGGCGTTTTAGCCATCTCCCTTAAGTAAACTGCCAATGGTTCACCGACCCGGTTATAGCTTCAGATTTCGGCTTTTCGTCCTTTAACTTCGATGGGAAAACACCTCCGCTACGAGCAAACAGCGAGTAGGGCTTCCTCAGTAGAGGCTATTTGAGACGCTTGGTCATATAGGAGCATTTCATGACGTGCAAGGGAGGGGTAACCAGCTGCAACTCGAGACACCCACCCCCAATCATACTGAGGATATCAATTTTGTAAGTTTCTCCATACCGTGCTTTGATTTTGAAACAAAAAATAAATAAAATGAAAGGAACAAACCTAACAGATCAAACGTTGAAAGCTCTTAACTACGGTTTCTTAGTGTTTTCAGTCACAGACCAGGTGGGTTCATAACTCCCGATACAATGGATAGGCCTGATTCATAGGATATCATTCAGTTCCTGGACGCCGGGTGCTCCTACATCATATCTAACTTCCTTTCACATACGCCTGAGTTCAGACTGTATACCAATCAAATCACGGTACAATATTCTTTATGAAAAAGAAAAAAAATGGTGCACAATTTGCTCGAGAGCACGATACTGCTAGATTGCCCACCTAATGGGAATATTACGGGCGGAGAAGTTCATTCGCAGATATAAAATACGCATTACGACAATCTGTAAAGATCTTTCAATCCAGCGTCAGCAAAGAAATATCCTTCATTGAGGTTTGTTATACTTAATTGCGTAGTACTGCTAGAATAATCACATAGCATGGTGTTCAGCAAACACCAATAGTCCTGGCTCCGGCATTTAGACCAGTTCTTTTGACAATCACCTAATTGTACCTCGTAAACCCGGAAAAGTATCACCCTGTTTGAAGGACAGTAAAGTTCTAAAGCGATTTCACCGCATACATCGGAATAAACCTGGCTGCAGATGCTCGCTAGTCACA